AATTTTAAAAATATTGTAAGATATATAATTATTAAAATAGATAATATTTATTATTTTTTAATAATTTAGATTTTTAAATTTGTTATCATTATTAAAATATTATAAATTATGATCAAATTAAATTATACGAAATCGAGTTTGAATAGATAATTTTTTAATTATATTAAATATTAGATGTATTCCATAAAAATCACAACTATAAAACTCCAAAATAAGACTTTTAATTTTATATATATAATTATTATAGATCTGTTGTAACTTTATGTAATTTTTAAAAAAAATAATTTAAAAAAATTATCAAATATATATATAAAATTATTATAGATCTGTTGTAACTTTATGTAATTTTTTAAAAAAATAATTTAAAAAAATTATCAAATATATATATCTAAAAACATTGTACAACTATATGAAAAAATTTCCAATCATAATTCCAAATACATCCTTAAGCAGGTTTGTTTATGTTTATGTTATGTACATTATTTAAATAATTGATCAATGTGATAAAAAATCTTCTTTGAAAAAGTTTCGAGATTCCTAAGCTTGCAAGTTTCCTTTTAATTGAGATACGTTATAAAGCAACACATTTCTTCATATATAGAATTATGCGCATGAACATTTATATATATATATATATATAATAGTGATAAATTTACAAACAAATTTTATACGTCACATTACAAAAAATCTCAACTATTAAATATATATGTCTATGTATAAATTTCAACATGAATCTCGAATCCCATCACACAAACAATAGTACATGCAAACTCTCAATAATAATAATCAAGACATAAGAACGAAATAAAGGAGATTAGTGAGAGTTATTAACTCATGATAAAAAGATAATAGCACCACAAATACGTTGAGAGGGCAAGACTAGTATATAGATAGGTGTTAGGTAGGGACTGCAAATGAATTAAGATCTTAACAAAACGTTCCTTCTGCTAGAGTTCTTTTATGCTTCACACACCTTCATTTCAAACAAACTTGTTTATTGAACTTTTTCAGTAGAATATAAACTTTTGGATAAGTTACACTCAGTTTTTAGACGAATTTAAATAATAAAATTTTTTGATAATAAATAAAATAAAAATTTTGATTCAGGTAAGTTCGAATCGAACCTTGCATAAGAGATGGACTAGCAAAAATTGGACTCAATTCGGATGCTTTACCGGACGAGAAATATATATATCAATACCAAAAAGAGGAAGGACATGCTCAAATTAAACATGCTTTTTATTAAAGAGTAAGCCTCTATAGTTTACAAGAATGTGTATTTCATCATTCCTATGTAAGCATTTAAAAAAAAATGTTTTATTGACTAACTATAGATAATTAAATATGAATTTCAATGGTTGAATCCACTGGTAAATAAGTGTTTTTTTTTGTAAATTAGGTTTAAAATTCAAGTTTTGAGTTTAATATTATCTTATAAGTTAGTTTCTAGATTCAAATTTTAGGCTACCTAATAAATTAATTTTGTTAAATACACTAAACTGATATATGAAGTATATGAAGACATTGTAGCTATCTGTATAAAATAAAATTAAAAGTACTCTCAAATAGTGAAAAACACAAAAAAGATTTTTTAAAAAAGAGCATATTTTATTTCAAAAGAGTATTTTTCAACTAGACCTTCAAAAAAAATGTTAAAAAACATGTAAAATTATTTAAATATTTTTAATTAATACTCTTCAAGTATTGTTGCATTGTGACTAAGAATTTATTAGCATGAGTGAAAAAAAACTAAACCCCCTTTAAATAAATTCTTAAATTCAAGTTTTTTTAATAAAGAGATAAGTTTAATAAAACAAAAAATAAAAGCATTGTTGTTCCGCCAGGCTCTCTCTTTTTATTTGTACCCATTTTCCTCGAATGTGAAGGGCACTTCAATTTTATAGTAGTAGGAAATGTTAAAACTAAAAGCGACAGATTTCCCATGAGTGTGAGTGTCAGAAGGCAATGACTCATTTAGTTAATCGTGTGGAGATCATGAGGACTAGGTGCTGCTACAGAGATTAGAGTGCGGTTTTTGTCTCTTCCCTGTCAGGTTCATACTTCTTTCTTAATTAACGAACTACTATCAGTTTTTTAATTTTTTAATTTTTTTTCCAATGAATACTAGTTTCGGCGCTGGAAATTTTTGGTTTGTAACTATCTGTGAGTAGTTCTGAATTGAAGGTGGAAGTGAATGTATCCCTCTAGATTGTATGTGGGTGCCCATAACGTGTTCGACGATTTTTCTGTTTGAACTTAATTTGAGGCTCTTGAGCTTTCCTGGGATGTTTCTCGGGAAACTTACCAGTTCAATATAATGAACGTAGAATATGGTTATCATATTTATTGTTTAAAAGTACTGACAGCCGCAATTCTTACCAGTGAGGATCCTGTAGCCATATGCTAGATTCCTTGGAAAATATTACTAACATTATCACTTTTCCTGAAACTTGTTCTATAGTCTTGTTTTGAATCTTTTGACCCATTATTCAAGTTGTCAAAAGACAAAAGGAATCATGGCTGCAACATGGGAGCTCGCAGAGTATAAAGCTCCTCCTCCATGTGCAGCCCCTTATAACATCTTTTTTGCAGCTTGTGCCTTGTGGTTGAGATCGATGAAGCTGACGTTAGTTTTGCACCCTGTACCAGAGCATCTAGTAGCTAGAGAAGGGCTAATGGCCAAATAGATAATTCTTAAGTAAATAATGTTCCTCCTACATGATCAGAACACAACAATCAGTCATGGCCTAACATTAGTTTCTCTTGCAGTTTGAACAGAGAAATGATGCCAGATTGCCTGTCCAGTTTTGTCCCACAAAATTAAAAGAGATCAAATACAAAGAATTCAGCATGTGTTAATAACGTTGCAACTTTGCAAGTACTAACTTGTTCAGTCATTTCAATAAATAATTAGGAGGAATAAGTTTATTAAACTTAAAAGGTTAAATTGGCCCTTAAACAAGTACTAACACAGTTAGTTGCATGCAACATGCATCATTTGCTTAACAGCTTTGTAAGCAAAGCTGTAAAAGCTTGCACTTTTGTTTGGAGGTTCAACATGAGAAAAGATCCATGATGGGTTGGGGACAAACTACCGACCCTTCTTTATTTTATAGTTCCTCCTGGGTGTTTTTAGCATAACTTGTGGAATCTTCCCCTTTTTTGGGTGATAAAAAGCTAATTTGATTAAAAAAAATTAGCCTCGGGGAATCTTCCTTAAAGCTGGGTGCTTTCCTTCTAAAAAATTGAAATCGCCCCCAGTTTAGGGCCTGCATGCTGCATACAGCTTACCTCATTTAATATCTTTAGCTTGTTTAGACGTGTATAAATACCTATGCTTGTATGCTTGAAGTATATACCTTAGTACTCCTCATTTCCCTTCCTTTTTGGGCATGTTAAGTTAGTCTTACTCTAGCTAGTTCTCTAGGGTGACACACTAAAATCTTTAAACCTAACTTTTTGAACTTCACCCCCCTTGAAAATGGCCAAAGTGACATGCAATTGTTTGATCTTTCTACTAATGATTTTGTCCCATGAACTTCTCTTTATTGAGGGAAGGAGCTTGGGACTGAAAAAAAAGTCAACAATGTGGACATTGTTGAGTTCTGATGGAAAGAGTTTTAATGCAGTAGCCCTCAGGAATGATGTTGCAACCGCCAGCCACCATCCTATGAGATCCATGGAAGGACTTCCAGATACTTTTCGACCCACCAACCCCGGCCATAGCCCCGGTATTGGTCATGACATCAAAAACTAGGATATATTAAAACCTGCACCTTAAGTTTAGTCGTTTGTATTGTTAGTTCAAGGATAGTTATTGTACAAGCTGCAAGTACTTACTTCACGAATGCCATTGTCAGGGTTATGCTGTTGTTTCCATATATGGTATCTAGTCTCTGTAGTGGCTTGTACGTTGTATCCCTTCTAATTCTTATCAACAAAGTCTGCTTTGTCTTCATTGTCTTAATGCCTAATAAACTTCCATGTATATACTTACAATTTATGCTTTGCTTACATGTATGCTTGATAGTAAAATAAGGAAACTGAAGATGGTTCGTGAGAGTAAAGATGGAACAGTTTAATCTAGTTGTTAACTAGTTAATGTTGATCGAGACAAGCTTGAGCCTATATAAAGTTAATTGAGCCAAACTTGAACTTAGCAATAGTACACATTTCTTTCTCTATTAACATACTTCCATAATCAGATTTAGTTATCCTAGTTAGAATTTTACATAAAGTTTGACTCAATGATTTTATACAATAAATGAATAATAATTGAAAAAAAATTTCATTTAAGTGAAAATGCTCAATAAGAAATATGTATAGAAAAAGAAATTAATTGTCATCTATCTACTATATAAAATCATCTAGTCAAATTTTATGTAAAAATTAAACTAGGACAACTAAATCTAACTAAAGGGATTATATAATTTCATACACAAAGCTAATAGCAAAAAAAAAAAAAAAAAAATCTGAGACTTTTGGAATATTGGTGCTACCCTCCCCAAGCTAGGGAGGAGACATCATCATGAATCTGATTTTCAACCTAACTTTCCCTTAACTGCAATGGAATCAAGTACTGCTTTTGGCGGCCGTCATGTTAGCCCGACAGCATTTTTTAAGCGTCGGAACCCCAAAGGGTTAATCACGTTTCTGGTTGTAAAGTTAGTTGGTCCAACCATGAACGGTCCAAATTGCAAGGAACTTCCAACTAATTAATTAGAGATTGTTTATTAAGCTTAGTGGAATTGTTGGTGGACAGGTGCATCTGGGGAGAAGTGGGAAAAGTGAAGTTCTCTCATTTTGAGTCCTCTTGAGAAGGGTAGAAGAGGCTGCCTTGGCTATTTTTACTGTTAATTTAAGTTCCAGTAGCCTTGGACAATCTTCCCTTTTTTATTTATTTATTTTTTATCCAAATTCCTAGCTAGATAGTTCCAAAAGAAACATGTATTCAATTTTTTAACACAAGCTTTTATTTAAAGTTTAACTATAATGCACCAATTTTGTTGAATTATGACATTGAAATAGTGTAGGCAAATGTACGGGAGACTGTTCCTCTCAATTTTAATTGTATATCAGTGAGTTGCATAAATGCATAGACATTATGTACTTGATTCTATGTTTGTCTTGCTTTTGATGTTTTTTAGGACTCATATCTACTGGAACTGGTAATGGAACCATGGCCTCTTAATAATCATTAAATCTTTAAATTTTCCTGTGATTATGGAGATCTTTCAATTGCCCACCTTATTTGGCTCGCTTAAACTTAGTAATTTTAGGATATGACCTCTTGAAAAATCAAAATTATATATATATGCTCCTATATTTTATCATTCTCCAGTAATCTTTAGTCATTTTTTGTTGTTATTGAAGCATGGAAGGAAACATGGGGGCAACAGGAATAAACGAACATGGCAGGATTAGATAGCCTTTTCTATTCAGGTAGGGCAAGAAGAATAAACGAACATGGCACAAATCGCAGAATTAGCTAGCTAGCTTTGTCTGTTCACGAGAGGTTGGGCCTCTATAATCTCTCTAGTTCCTTTCTATTCTGCTTCTGAAAAGCTTTCTTTATTATAAAGTTAAATATGGGCCAAAATATTCTCTTCTATAGAGGTATTTTTTTGCCATTTAATTGAGAAACGGGTCTAATCAAGTAATCATATTCTTGTTTTATAATTTAGTATAAACAATATTATAAAACATAAATTCTTCTTATAATAGACTTTTAAAAAAAATATTTATTTCATTTAGAAAAAAGAGTATTTATTATCTCATAATTATATAATTGATTGTCTTGAATATATAAAAATAAATATTAATTTTATCAATATTATGGATCAATATATTATTGATAATTTGATACAACTGAAGTAAATTTTTATATTTTTAAAATAATTAATTGTAAAAAAAATACAATAATTGGACAATAAATGTTTCTTTATCATATGCTGTCACATTAAAAAAGGAGGAGTGCCCTCACAAATCACAATCGTCCTCTTCTTGGCAAGGTGAGAGGTTGTAACTTCTAAATAGTATCCCACTTTAAGTATCGCACAAGGAGCACCACTTTTTAGTCACCCTACTTTTAGTTTTTAAGGTCAAGGCTAATCATCAAAAAGGGTCATTTGATGCCTCTAAATATACTATCTCCGAAGGCAGTTTTAGTTGTTTTTTTGGTTTGGTATACTTAGGCTTCTCGCAAGGAGGAAAAAAAAAAAAAGATTTTCTATTTTGTGGACAAAGCCTGGTGGGTTCCAAGTATATAATTCAGCAACTTGTAGCATGCGTTTGTACGCTGTTTGTTTATAGCTTTATTTTAAGTAGTATAAACTTTTATTCGGGGTCCAGTGTTTGAACTTTAGTAAGTACAAATCTATAAAAGAGAAATTTAAAGCAGGGAAAAGTCATAATTTGATTAAATTATAGGTAATTTTAAATATAACGGTTTATAATTTGTTTTTTAACAGCAACATAATGGTTTATATTCTATAGACTTTTCAAGATCTGGTAGGGACAATGGGGTTAGGTAGATAGATTTCCTCCAAAATTTCTTGGTTCTAATGTAGTTGACCTTATTCTAAACCCACTAGATAGGCTTTTTTTTTTTTTTAATAAAAAATGAGATATAAATTATATAAGACATTATTGAATTGGGAAAAGTTAAATTAGAGACAGAAAGAGAAACACTTTAATAAATAATAATTATGAACTGATGAAAACGAGAATAATACTAGTGATACTTATTTGTATTTTATTGGCACATCATTGATGTTATTTTAGTGGATAATGATGTGTGCACACTCGGATGTGGGATCCAGGTGTGCACACACCGTATAAACAAAAAAGAAAAACTCATCACCTGATTCAACTTTTTTTTTTATAGAGGGTGCACACCTGAGTGTGGGATCCGGGTGTGCACACATCAGTGTCATATTCTAATAGAAATTTCAATTCTATGCACTGCACGCAATCTTACCATTTTTTCCCTGAACTTGAATCATTTTTATGTCAGTGCACCACGAATTGTTGGGCATAGCCAGATATATCTAGGAATGGTATCTATGCATTGAATCTGATCTAACTTCCAAATCACTAGTTTTGCAAGAAAGAAAAGAAAATAAAAACCAATTGGAATCTCTACTTGTTAAATCGTTTTTATTAACAAAATGGTCCACATACAATCATATTTCATAAAAGAGTCTAATAGTTATATACGAGATTAATTATGTTTGTTTTCAAAAAATGTAAACCAGTATGCATCTACATGTTTAATATTACGTGGTTATTGCTTGTTATGAGAGTGTTATGAAATAAATCTATGAATTTTTATTTTCATAGGAAGAGTTTCATATTTTATAATTTAAATTATATAAGAATTGTTGGATGAAGGAAAAGCCCTAATATCAGGGGACCTACCTTTTTATTTAATAGTTTTTGTTGTGTAATCCAATACAATCTAAATTGTATAAAAAAAATTTATCATTGGCATAACACTTTTCTTTTAAAAAAATATGTAGAAAGTTTTACAAGTACGTTGAAAATTGTATCATTCTCTTCCTATTCCTACCTTACCATCTACAATTTGCTGGCTGACACCATTGTGAATGTGGTTATTCTAAGCCCAGTCTAGCCCAATCACTTGCTTAACTGTAAATTGTAACCAGCTTCGGCTGGAAGGGCCTAACAGGCTAACCATGTTACCATAAGTGATCAAGGGTCTACTAAAGCGTTGGGCTCCGCCCCTAAAGTAGTGGGCTTCTTCTCATAAAATATGGACCAGTGCACCACTTAAGGACAAACTAGTGTCTAGTGATGTGAGTTTTCATTTTCACTTTTCCATCCTTTTTTTTTTTTTTTTAAGTTTATTATTGAACAAAATGACAAGTCATTCTGAAGGGTTAAATTTGTTGTTAAGCGTCATTTTATAAACTAGATTTAAGGTTTGCACCTGATACTTAAGAAAATTTAATTTTCTTGAATATATTTAATTAAAAATAAATTACTAATTAATAGAGGTATGAAAACAACCATGTACTTAAATACATTGTCTTAGCTAAATGTCTAATAAGTCATAATTGCCCTATTTAAGTAATGTTATGGTTAAATTAGTTACTTAGAATGAGAGCAATGACACTTTACGCTTGTAATTAATGAGATTTTGGTCGTTCACATCATTCATCGAATCATTAATTTATTACCAATTGTTAAATACTCATTCGTTCTCATTAGTTAATCATGAACCATTTCAATGACTTTTAACGGGAGAATCTTTACCAAAT